CCGGACCACCACTTAAGGCCCTCACCTCCGCCGGACCACCGCCTGACGCTGTTGCTCCGCCGGACTACTGCTTAAAGCCCTGTGCTCTACCAGGCCACCATGTGAGGCCCGGACTTCCACCGGACCACCACCTGACGCCCAGACTTCTTCCGGGAAACCACTTGATGCAGAAAGTTCTCCTGAAGTACTGCTCTCCTACAACAGTCTTTCAGACCTCGGTCTCCTGCCGACTACGGTCCTCCCGACCTCCGTCATCTACTATGGTAACTCCGACCTCCATCACCAGACAACGGTCTTTCAGACCCCGGCTCCTGCCGATATATATACGATCCTCCCGACCTCCGTCGCCTACTATGGTCCTTCCGACCTCCATCAAAAGACAACAATCTTTCAGACCTTGGTCTCCGGCCGACTACGATTCTCCTGACCTCCGTTGCATACTATGGCCATTCCGACCTCCATCACCAGACAACGGTCTTTCAGACCCCGATCTTCTGCTGACTACGGTCCTCCCGACTTCCGTCGCCTACTACGGTCACTCCGACCTCCGTCACCAGACAACAGACTTTTAGACCCCGGTCTTCTACCGACTACGGTCCTTCCGACTTCAGTCACCTCCAATGGTCTTTCTGACCAAATAAATGTCTATGTTGATTATTGTAACTCCCACCATGTAATGCGCTCTATATGACGTACATTTGTAACATCAGACCAAGGTCTTCTCCCTAAGAAGGACCTCATTTGTAATCGACTGGAGATACTAGTGGATTCATTCAAACTGGGCCAGGCCTCGTGGCCTCGTGGTTTTTCCCCCTTTTTCAGGGGTTTCCACGTAAAAACTCTGGTGTCTGTTATAAATGCTACTCTCTCTCACTTATCTGCTTGTGTGCTGGATCTTCGTACAATACTTAGACGTTAAACTATATATTTCTCTACCGCCGCAAATACTCCAGAACACAACAAAAAGTATAATTAAATTAATTTAATTAAGATTGATAAAACAATTTTATTAGAAAGTGCATACGCAATGACAGAGAGAAAATACAGAGAGTTAACAAAAAATATATATAATAAATATACTTTAATTAATATACTAAGAACTAATAAAAAGTTTTAAATTAGAATTTGTATTTCATTAGTTTAATAATTTATCAATTAGATGATGGCTCACCAGTTCCTCTCACGATCAACCTGCTCAAACTCTATACTTTTGTCAAGTATCCGGTGAGGACTTCTGGCAGTTTGCCAGCGAGAAATGCTTATCCATATCTGATTGTGGAGCATCCTCAGCAGCATGGAAGGGAAAATCAGAAGATAAGGTATGGAGACATCCTTCATCTCCTTTGTTGCAAGTAAGTAGAAACTTTGTATCACCCACGGAGCTATAACCAAATACTGCATAATAAGAAAAAATATTTATATTTCATAAAAATAAAAATAAACAATAAGTTTAGACTTTTATTTGGAAATAAAAGGTTTGTTCGGGACATTTTTCCCTTTGCTTTACTCTTCAAATAACAATCATAAATTTATTTGATTGTTATTTTTCCACTATTTTAAATAAATTATGTAGTATAAAACTACTTTTGCAATCATAATATCAAAGTTAATTTCAAGTTTCACCACTGCAAAAATGATTCCGTACGGACGCCGAACGCAGTTCACTGTCCGGAGACAAACCAGAATGTGCCATGTCAGCGGTACTTTGCTCGGTACCGAGCCAGGTACCGAGAAGGGGGCAACGTGACGTATTTTGGTTGGTCTCCAGACGGCATTCGATGTCTGCATTGAATAATTTCATCCCAACTAGAATCCAAATCATTCATGCTTACAAGTGATTTGGCAATATATTTGTATGTTGCTACTTGCTAGGAGAAAAGAGAAGATGAAGATAAAACGTTTAAGACTTCCTATAAGATAGTGTTCAAAAGTAAAGAACATTCAAAATTTTTGTTAAGAAAAAAATTTCTAAATTAGTCCTGGGCTTTGTGTGTGTGTGTGTATAGAGAAGTATGTTAATTTTATGATATGGAGAGAGATCATATTACCTTGAAGTTGCCGAGCCTATGCCATGGCCACTCTGTGAGCAATCCTGGTCTTGAAGCCATTAAGCTCACCAAGTTATCAACTCCAAGAGACGCTGCAACTATGTACACTTTCTTCTATGTAGATGGTCCTTTTAAAGCGAACTTTTATTTGGTACATTCACTGGACGTAGAGGAAGGTTCGGTTTTAGGCAAAAAAGTGCCTGTACCGAGTTTTTTAAAAAAATACATAGTTTTTTGAAAAAACTCGGTACAGGCCTTTTTTGCCTAAAACCGAACCTTCCTCTACATCCAGTGAATGTACCTAATAATTACTCTTTTAAAGGAGGGAAGACGAGAGCGAGTGAGCGACCTTCTTGTAATCTGCCGTCCAGATATTTAGTCACACGTGGCCTCATCGTAGAGTTTGTGGATTGGAATAGAAATAGGGAATTCTGCTCTCAAAAATAAATTTAAATTCCGCTTCAATAATTGTAAGTACCGTAACTATGGATGTGTAAAATTTAATATCAGCGCTAATATCTAATTACTACATCCAACAAAATAGAGAATTTAATGAAATTGATCCTTTTTCAAAATCTGATTTCAAACATGAAAGGCTTTGTGAAATGCACAAGTAAAAAGTGAGTACAAATGATGATGCAGAATACATGAGATTTGTTGTATGTGGGCAAGAATATTCGTAGTGGTAGAGCGAGTAAACATTTTGTTTTAGCGATGCACGGATATTCAGCACATGAAAAAAGAGAATTAAAACACCCATTTTTTTATGTGGAAAGCCCAAATAGGGAAAAACTACGGGTCCTGGTCCCGCACATGTGAAAAGATTCCACTAAATTTGAGTGAATTACAAAGGTTGACCCATCCCTTGACTTAAAAGCGGTTAAATTATAGTAGTTTGGACAGTTAGACAAATGTTTGGCGACAGTTGGACGGAAGTTCGATGATGTTCGTGCAGAAGTTCAACTGGCGGGGAATGATCCGACGAAGGTCAGGCGGAAGTCCAACGACGCTAAGCTGTCCGGTGGAAGTCCGGAAGCGGTCGGCGATCCGACAGTGACCCGATGAAGGTCGGGCTGAAATCCAGTGGTGGTTGAGTGTAAGTCCGGCAGTGGTTGGTGGCCTGGTGGAAGTCCGGCGGCAGTCGGTGAATTGACGGCAGTCGGTGAATTGACGGTGGTTCGACGATGATTGGGCAGAAGTCCGACAACGGTCGGCGTCTGGGTGTAAGCCCAACTGGGTCGGCGACCAGCTGGTGGTCCGATGACGGTCATGCTGAAGCCCAGCGACAATTGCCAGCCATATAGTGGTTTAATGAAGGTTGGGTTGAAGTCCAACGACGGTTAGCGACCGAGTGGTAGTCCGACGACGGTTGGACGGCCAGGTGGAAGTCCGGCGACGGTCGGTGACAGGGATGTGGTCCGATAAAGGACGGACTTAAGTCAAATGGAGATCGACGGCCGGGCGATGGTCTGACGAAGGTCGAGCTGAAGTCTGGCGACGGTCGGAGGTCGGGTGAAAGTCTGATGGCGGTCGGCGGTCAGGTGGAAGCTCGGCGATTGACGGCCGGGCGGTGGTTCGGCGACGATCGGGCTGAAGAGTTGTGGCCGGGCAGAAGTTCGACGGTGATTGAAGGCTGAGCGGTGGTCCGACGACAGTTGATGGGCCGGGAGTGGAAGTCTGGCGGCGATCGGCGGCCGGTTGGAAGTCTGACTATTGCCGACGACCAGACGGTGGTTTGAAGACGGTCAAGCTGAAGTCCGGCGATGGTAGGCGACCGGGTGGAAGTCCTAAGGCGGCCGGCGACTGGGTGGTAGTCTGTCTGCGGTTGGCGACCGGGCGATGATATGACGATGGCCGAGCTAAAGTCCGACGGTGATGGAAAATCGGATCGTGGTCCCACAAAGGGCTGAGGTTCGACGACGGTCGATGGCCGGGTGGAAGTCTGGTATATGTCGGCTGCCAGGCGGTGGTCCGACGATGGTCGGACTGAAGTTCGGCCTGAATCAACGGCCTAGTGGAAGTCCGACGGCGGTTGGTGGCCGTGCGGTGATTTTAAGACGGTCGGGCTGAAGTCTAGTGGTGGTCGGCAGCTGGGTGGAAGTCTTGCAATTGTTTGTGGCTGGGTGGTTGTCCGACAACGGTCGGCTGAAGTCTGGCGGTGGTCCGATGATGGTCGGTTTGTAGTCCGACAGCAGTGATCGACAGTCGAGTGATGGTCCGACGATAGTCGATGAGGGGTTTGCCGGCGATGCTGCTGGAGCTCTTGAGAAGATTCTGGGTCGGTTTAGAGTACTCCATCGGATGACTTGTATTAATTCCCCCGATCATAGAGAGTTTTTCAACTGTTTAAGTGTCTTAACGATGTTAGAATTCAATAATATTGGGCTCGTTGGATTCGTCTAGCCGAGCCGCTCGATTTGAATATAAGCATTTCATATTTTGATATCATTTTATAAATCCAAATAATGCTTTGACCAAAGAGCCTAAGATCACTGAATTCCGACATCACTAAGACATTCAAATGTCCATCAAACGGTTCAAGATCAAGGGATTCAAGATCGACCGTCCATCCAACCACTCTCAATTTAATGCTTTGATCCTTCCAAATGCAGGTTCGTCTCTTTGAAACGTTTAGTTTGACTATATGTTTGCTGAAATTAGAATTCAGATGATTCCAATTTTAATTTTGAAAGTTTTCAACTTGAATCGCCTCGAGATTTGTGCTCGAATAGAAGTAATTTTTTGTGCCCTATCAAGACGGTTGGCTGGTGATGATGAAAACGCTGATTCTTTGATTGAAGCCTGCCAGCTTTTGCCAGCTTTGAGGTTTGGTGTTGTGGATAAAAATGGCAAATAACGTCTTTTGGGTTTGCTGAACAACTCATTTTTTGCATGGTATCGACTGGAACCAAATATAATCTTGAGAAAATGCAGCTACTTTTAAAGTCATAATTAAATTCGCACGAATTTGGTTTCATCAGTGATACAGAAAGTTATTAATCTGGCTCGTGCATGCTAAATGATAATTTATGCATGGCCAATTCATAAGAATATAATTAATTATATAATAAAATAAAGCTTATAATTGAATAAGATTTTCGCACTATATCCTATCATTTAGATGATAGTTAAGTAAAGTCAGCTCGACTCGATAAATGAAATGTGAGTAGAACTTGATGAGCTAGCAAGTCAAATTTGTGCCGGCCTTCTTTTTTTTTTTTTAATTGACTCGGTAGTTCCTTTAAAAAAATTATTACTCATTATCTCTTCTCAAATATTATATGTGCAGATCAAAATCTGGTAGAGCTGATGGGCAATGGGCGCTCAACGGAGACAGTCGAGTCAAGTTAGATAAGATCATAAAATCTCCCTTAAATTTTAGATTAGGTAAATTTTTTTTTTTTTTATTTTGATTGAATAATTACTTTTAGAATTAAGGAAATTAGAGTGATTTGAGATGGAATGTGGCCTTAAATAGGATTGGGCTCAAAACATCCTAATTTGACATAGATTTGGTGGGTGCTGAAGGGGAGTCTGGTCCACAATCTAAAACAATTTTAACTGATTTTGGCTAAGCCAAACTTAAGTTAAACTGGTCCCATGATGAGTGGGTTTTGTTTGTAAATTAGCTTTGAAAAATAGATTGGATCAATTTTTGACTGAGCTAAATATTGTTTAAACTGAGTTTTGTGAAACCACGTAAGAAATAAAGTTGAACTCTTATATATGGAGATATCTTTTGATATAACGGTTGGAATTTTATTAGAAAATTTAAAGTTTAGTGTGCTTGTATAGGAGCACTCTAAGAATGAGTGTCCTCATATAAAGTTACATAAATGAGACAAAATTGTAAGGCTATTAGGCCAAACGAACAATATCTAGATGGTTGAGAGTTTGATATGTTATAAAATGATATCGGAGCAATACGACGCTAGAAGATGAGAAATATACATTTCAATTTTTATCTATATGGTGGATGATTCTGGGCAAAGGAAACTGATGAGTACATTAATTATCTAAGTGGTAGATATTTTGAAACCCCTAAAAAAAAGAAAGCTAAACTCTTAAACTCGAGACGCCTTTTGATGTAATCATTGAAATTTCATTTGAAACTTTATAGTTAAGCATGCTTGTGTGTGAGCACTTTTTGAGTGGGTAATCTACTGAGAAGTTACACTAAGGGGACAAAACTATGGGTGTCAAAACCGGGTTTCGGGTTGAACCCGAAACTGGTCCGGTTTCAAACGAGTCGACCTTAACCCGAACCAGGTATGTAAACGGGTAGGAAACTCGGACCCGAACCCGACCCGTCGGGTTGCCGGGTTAACCCGACCCGATACGGTTCCACATATGGTGGCAGCGGGACGGCAAAACGGCGGGCACGCAGGACGACCGGCGGCAGGTTGCAGGTGGGCACGGACTCGTGTGAGCGGGCAGACGGGCATTGTGGGGCAATTGGCAGGCGCGGGCAGCTTCGGGCGTGCGGACGGCAGTTGGCAGGCGCACGAGCAGCCGCGGGCAGGGCGCGAGCAAGTGCGCGAGCAACCGGGGCAAGTGCGGGCATCTTGGGCAGCGCGAGTAGCTCAATTTAAATGGGTTTCTGGGTTGACCTGGAAACTCATCGGGTCAACCCGAGTCTGACCCATTTTTCAAACGGACCGAATCTAGGAACCCGAACCCGACCAGTTTTGAAATTGGCTTGGGTCTAACCCGAATTTTTTAGGTTGGGTTCAAGTCAGGTTTTCGTGTCGTGTCAAATATTGGTACCCCTAGACAAAACTATGATGTTATTCTTTATGGTTAGAAGTTTAGATTGTTACAAGTTCAACATTGAATGAGCTCAATACGCGTGACCTAAGGTTGGTCCATGCATGACCTAAGATCAATTTTAGCCTATAGAGATAGACACATTGTTATGTTAAATATTGACCATCTAATGTATATCAGATTAGGATTAATATACCCTGAGGGTTGTATCCAATAAGATCTGACTCAACTCAATAGACCAAGCTAGGGCTGTTCAGGGGATCCGCAAGAGTATGATAAGGTTGTGAGCAACT